CTCCAGCAATGGTCCAATATAATGCTAGAGTAGCAGTGGGGACCTGATGTGGATGTGTCGCAAACGCTCCTCAGGTATCCAAGCTTCTCCATAGGAAGTCTATGAATTCAATGCTTTCCAATGAGCTTCTGCGTCACATTACATTATATATAGTGTCTAGGCTGAAAAAAGTCTAAAGTCCATATAGTTCAGCTGTGAAGCCCCTTCTTTTATGCTGTTTATCCAAAAGAAGACCATTTCTAATTATGCCAGAAAAAGGGAAAATAGTTCCTTCTTTGCTCTATAATGGCAATCAGATTTCTCCTTGGATCAACAACCCATTTACACACATATCAATTATATCCTTGAATATACTGTTTATGCAAAAAAGTATCAAAGAAAATATTACTGTAAAAAATACTTTCCTCTGCTGTAAGTAAAAATGCCTTTCTTCCAGTCTATGGGTGACCTATTGAGATTCCTGCCAATAAACAGGTTAGCACATAGCGGTTTGTACTGACCCTGCATATATTTGTATGGTGTTATCATATATCACCTCACTTTCTAATGGACCAACGCTTTTTGGGGTTGATATTGCTCTTTTTGGCTATGGGCTTTTCATTTTCAAGATAAGCCCATGTTCAAACCCTATTGGCATGCTTACATTTGTTATCGGATGCAATCGAACCCTCTGATTTAAATGTTTTGAATTACCTGTTCTTATCTTTTATCATTTGACTGACCCTTGTACGAAACTACATTGGTTTTAATTAGCTTCTTTAATATTTGTTTTCCCAATGGTATTTATTGAGAAATTAACTTTTGTAGACTTTGTTTAAAAGACCTTCCATTTATCATCTGTGCTTTTGCTGGTGAATATTTCCTGCTCATCAATTAGTTGTAAAGATGCCATTACCCTAGTGAATTTAGCCTTTTTAAAATTAAGTGTTTTTGTACAGTCCATATAAATAATTTTTTTGGGGGTTAATCTCAAATTATACCATAATATGGTCACTATTTCCAAAGGACTCCCTAACTTCAATGTTTGAAAATAAGTCAACATTATTAGTTATGGATAGTTCATGGATTGCAGGATAAAACTTACAATGAAAGGTTAAAGGATCTTAACATGCATTGTTTGAAGGAAAGACGAGACAGGGGGGATATGATAGAAACATTTAAATACATAAAGGGAACCAACACAGTAAAGGAGGAGACAATATTTAAAAGAAGAAAAACTACCACAACAAGAGGACATAGTCTTAAATTAGAGGGACAAAGGTTTAAAAATAATATCAGGAAGTATTACTTTACTGAGAGGGTAGTGGATGCATGGAATAGCCTTCCAGCTGAAGTGGTAGAGGTTAACACAGTAAAGGAGTTTAAGCATGCGTGGGATAGGCATAAGGCTATCCTAGCTATAAAATAAGGGCAGGGACTAATGAAAGTATTTAGAAAATTGGGCAGACTAGATGGGCTGAATGGTTCTTTTCTGCCATCCCATTCTATGTTTACCCAGGACATACTTGAAAACGAGAGAAATCTCAATGTATCTTTCCTGGTAAAATATTTTATAAATAAATAAATATGTTTCTAGTTATGACAAAAATCCAGACGAGCATCTCTTCTAGTTGGTGCTTCTACTAATTGAGATATGAAGTTATCGTTTATCAGGTTCAAAAGCCTGTTTCCCGTAACTGCATTACTAGACACTCTGGCTCAATCAGTGTCTGGATAAATAAAATCTCCCATGATTAACAAATTATGCATTTGTGCAGCCTTATTAATTTGAGAATGCAGTTGCTCTTCCACATCAATGTTGGTTTGGAGCTGTAACAAATTCCTACTATTGATGGATATCCTCTGTTTCCTCCTACTCATATTTCTATCCATAAGGCTTCCACATTCTCACCTGTATCATCAAATACAATCTCTTTAACACTTGACTTTAAATTAGGTTTAACATACCCTGTCCCCTTTCCATTTGAACAGGTCTATGAAGGCACACAACAAGGCTGGCACTTAAATAGGGGCCGACAGGGGAGATCCTTTGATGGCCCATGGACACCGCTGCCCACCGGGCACTTACCAGGTTTGCCCAATGGCAAGTCTATGCCTGTTCACAAGTGTCCCTATGTAGGAGGGACAGTCCCTAATTTGGGTCAAAATACCTCTACCCCACTGTCCCTGTTTTCTAGGAGCTCCATATTGTTGGTTGTATCTGAGTTTATAACAGGGATCCACAGCAATAATACTCCTAGTAGTGTATCTTTAAACTACAATATATGGGTTTACATTTTTACTAGTAAGTCACATAAAATATATATATATATTTGTTGCACAAACAGACACAGATTGAGGTTTGATTTATCTCTCAGTTGTTAAAGGAACACTCCTATTCCCAAATCCAAAATAAATAATAATCACTGTTTAGTGGATACACCCCAAATAAAAGCTTGCATGCATTTAATTATGTATTTTTCCATTTGAGTTATATCTAAAATCAGCTTGCAGAACCTGCAATTCTGTTGTCTGCAGCCTTTGCAAGCTCTTCCCAATACAGATCAAAGAGAAGTCTTTGTAAGTCAGGTGCTCTGGGCAATTGCTGCCTCTTGATGTCAGCTGCATTGAGCTAATGAAACCAGGGAGTAACATTACCTGTTGTCTGCTTAAAAGCCAAGGTGGTGTAACCAGATTAATTTACAAAAGTGTCAATTTCTATTGAAATCTGCACTTTTTGCAAAAAAGTACAGAAAGCTTTTCACACAGAAATCTTTTCAGCAAGCTAAAGTTATCTGGGAGACTGGAGTGACCCTTTAAAGTAACAACACATTTGAAAGTACATAAGTATACATTGTGCATATTTTACATTGTGCCATTACACCTTGGCAGTATTATATGTTATATTTTTGTAACTATTTGGTAGTTAATCGTATTATAGTGACATAGCAGCTTTGTGTTTTACACACATGTAGTTCTATATATCACTACAAATTCTTTAGTTTTGATAAATTTTGATAGGTTAGCCTTTAAGTAGCAGATCAATTTATTGCCGCGTACTGCTTGTGTTCTGAGTAGACCTGGTAGAAATTAATTTCTTTATTCGAAATAGGCGAACCAAATAAGATGCGCTTATTCAATGAAAACCATTTAGCATATACCTACTGGATTTTTCTTTAGTAAATATGTAAATCCTATGTAAATGTCATGAGTTTCACCACCTTTTGCAAATCTGCAGTACATGCGGACTTTAGTGAACAATTTTAACATGTTTTTGGCCTAAAAATGTGAATCAGTTTACAAATCACTATAACTGTCCATTTATTATGAATAGAGGCACAGGGCTAACTGAATATGAATTTCTCCATTGAGGTCTATGGCAAAAGAGCTAATTCACCTTGTCTAATACACCCTTACTCTGAATCCAGTCCACAATCTGAATGACCCCTAAAAATATTATGTAATAGTATACATTATAATGCACGCATGATTAAGATTACATTTAGGGATTCTATATATTGTCTAGTCAGTTTATACATAATGAAAGGATTATTTGTATGATACGATTGTACATTCAGACAGACAATTCATATTACAAACACGCATGCCCTCGACTTTGTACAAATATGCAAGGTTGATATTTTGTATAAAAGTACACCAATACATATATTTCACAGTCCGGAATCTTGACTTTTCACTTGCATAAAACAAAAAAAGAAAATATTTTGGAACATAAGTGTAACAAAACAATCTGTTAGCGTGGAGACTGACCTTGACGTTTAAATGTTTGGGATGGCGAAAAATAACATTTCAAATTAAGGATACTTTATTACATTTGACAAAACCCTGAATTGTGCATTCAAGACCATGGCAAATACACAAATTAGGTTGGACATGGCCACAAGACAGGTCGGAGACAGCGTTGGGCACCCCCGGGAGACCCGGGAATTGATAGTCCCCCATGAGGGCTGTGGAGCATTGAGGTGCCCACAGACCCCAGGCAAGGGAAAGATACAAGGTTTTTACACAACTAGCACTTAACTACAGTACTCAACATTAGCAGCCCACCAACAACAACCTGCAGTCCTACCGCCCCATATATTGAATACCCTATCCACATGCAGAATATCTAGAAATCCGGACTCACATGCATCTCTACCGCATATCTATCAGCGCTGCTGCAACATACATATAATCTGATAACAGACAAGTAGGCATGGGGGTACATACCCCACCTACACACGCCTGGGCTGTAGGCAAGTTACACACGTACCCAGCTTTACCTTTGCTTTATTCTCCCCTATTTCTATTATCCCATATTTTTCTTGTTCGTTACTACTCTCTCTATAAGTTCTTTAACAACATCACCTTTGTACCAAACCAATGTCGATAGGGGCACAGGGGGCCCCGTGTACAAGGGGGCCGGACCTGAGCCACAGTGGACCACTCACCTGAGGCATGCTCTAGCACATAAACCAATAAAGACAATTTGTGGCACACTATCTGTCATGAAGGCGTTACAAGAAAACAATGTATCGACAGGTTAATGCCTGCAAAGTATTTATTTATTTGTATATATGTTTGGGTTTAATATTTTGTCTTTTGCAAAAAAAAAAAAAGTTTCAGTCAAAGGGGTAATAGAAACTGGCTGCTACTGTTAATTAGAACCTCATTTATTATGTCATAAACTGTGGTTTAAAAACTGCCACAGTTAATCCACAATAGCCATACTCCAATTAGAAGTTTAAAAAATAAATACATTGAAACTCAGCTCTTTTAGTTAAATTTAGTAAATCTGTTTTAGAATCTCCTAGAATTGTCTGTTTATAAACCCCCAAACCCTTGTGTAATGATAAGAGAAGCTTTTATATATATTGTTACTACTTGCTTATACAGGAGAAATAATATCTTTCATTTATGGTTTGAACTCAGATGAATGTATAAATGGTAGGTCTGTGCTATATGAAAACTACCATGGAAACTCTCAGAGATCACAAAAAAATTAATCTCTGTTCCTATTTAGAACTCCAGAGAAGGAAGCTTTCTAGATACTTGTCACATACACTGACTGGCTGCATTTAAAATGGAGAAACTGTGAGATGCCCTCACTGAAGGCTGGGGATAGTTTGAGCTACAGGTGAAACCCCCTCACCCTGTCACACTCACCCCCTCACCCTGTCAAAACTCACCCACACCTTGTCATACTCACCCCCTCATCCTGTCAAAACTAACCTCCACACCCTGTCATACTCACCACCTCCCCCTGTCAAAACCCACCCACACCTTGTCATACTCACCACCTGACCCTGTCAAAACTCACCCACACCCTGTCAAAACTCACCCACATCCTGTCACTCTCACTCCCACACCCTGTCACACTCCCCCACACCCTGTCACACTCCCCCCCCTCATCCTGTCACACTCCCCCTCACTCTGTCACACTCACCTTCACACCCTGTCACTCCCTATCACACTCACCTCCCCAACTTATCACATTCACTCCCTTACTGCGTGTTACTTACCTGACCTTTAACTCTCACACTCACCTCCCTAACCCTGTCACACTCAGCACCCCATCATAGTCACACACCACCCTTCACCTTGCCACACATCCTGTCACACTCAACCCTTCAACCTGTTACACTCACCCATCAATTCTGTCACACTCACCCACCCACCCACTCCACCCACTCACCAACTCATACCCTCACCCCCATAATCATGTCAAACTCACGCTATAACTGTTTCACACTCACACACCCACTCACTAACTCTCACCCCCATAATGCTGTCAAACCCACCCTCTAACTCTATCACACTCACCCCATCACACTTACCCCCCTCACCCTGCCACAGTCACTACCCCAATCAGCCTATCACAGTCACCCCCTGAAGATAGTCATCCCCATACACAGTAACCTCCTACATATGAAACACAACCTCACCATGAACACAACACACAAAGACCACAAGCAACATCCCTTACACGCAACACAATCGCTTTAGAAACTGCAGTGGCTGGCGGGAAGGTTAGCAGGCAGGCAATGCTGGGATATCACTGTTCCCAACATGCACCAGGTTTTTACACTAGAAAAGAAAGATAAGGGAGGCCGCTCAACTGAGTCTCTGCTCGTGTGAAAAAATGTCAAGCCTTGCCACTGCCTATAAAGTACTGGTTTAGCATCTAGAACATCCAGAATAGTATGTGGAATGGAATTATTAGGATACTGAATATTTTCCTAAATTATTTTGCTACATGCTGAGTGTGTGTATATGCGACTTACTTTCATGTCTAGTAGCAGGACATTTCAATGTCTGTCTGGGTGTTCTATATTCCGACTCTTACCTGGAAATACTGAATAGGACCTCCAACAAGCTCAAAGTTCTATGGCATTTACACACAGAATCTGTAAAACATTGCAAGGGTGGTAATTGTTATTTATCATGTTTACGTTTGATTTGGAGGGCTACATGTCACTCCAGAGAGCTGAAATCAGTTTTCTATTGTAAATGTATCTACATTAAAATCAGCACTATGAGATAAAATGATGCGAGCGATATTCACTAAGCTGTGATTTGTCAGAAATTGGCCAGGGAATATACAAATTTAGGTCAACGTAGATGAAAATTATGCAGCTTCTATTTTTCTATTTTGGCTTAAAGTGTGAGAATTATAATAACACCTGTGCTTCCAGTTTAACAAACTGTATGGGCTACTTGCCTTTTATCTGGCATAACAATCAATAATTTTATGTGTTTGCAATGTTGCTGTTTTTTTTTTTTAAATCATTGCCGTTTCTTTAAACAGAGGAAGGTGCGGAGAGAGTTAATGCACAGACAAATAACTGGAAGTCGAGGGAGTCAGCTTTGCAAAAATCCAGATGTTCTCTGGCTAGAGGAGTATTCAAGGACAGCTTCCAAATTCCTTTCAGCAGATACAAAATTTAAAGCTAAGTTAAAATAAAAATGCACCTGTCAGTGAGAAACCAATAAATATCGTTCTGAATTGTGCAATGTTTTTTTTAAAGTTAATTTTCTCTTTTCTGCTCACCAATAAATTAAAAATAAATATGCCTCACCTTGAGTGTGATCACACCTTCGTGTTTCTGAGAATGTGTCTCGCTATTCCTTTTTAATCCCAATTAAGTTTTAATGTAAAAAAAAACAGAAATGATATATGGAAGTCCCATTGTAAAGTGCATGAATTTTCTATATTGATACTATTACTTTTTCAGGCTTTTTGTAAATGTATGTCATTCTATAACACCCAAAAGCTCACGATTATTGAAAATCAGCGATGGGTACCTTTTATCTTGTATCTATCTATTTTATAGATAGCAGAAACACAATAGGCCAGTTCATAGGTGGGCATAAGACGTACGTCAGGTGTGCCCAGATCTCAAAGTGCCAAATGCACGTAACTTGTAAGAAATTGGTCCCGGCTTCCCAGTGTGGTGGTCTCCCCTTAGATCTTAAGCTCATGTCTTTTTAAAATGAAGAAATAAAGGTACTGCGGTTTTATTTAACTTGAGGGGAGATACAGTGTTCCGTTTGGGTTCCTTAAGTAGTTTTTCTTTGATGAGGTCAATTAAAATTGTCAGCTTATATACATAACAATTTACCAATAGAAAAAAAAAAAAGTTTTGGATGAATGTAGATACTAGATTATTTTAGATTACACAAGAGTATGAGTTCCAAAAGTTATCTGGACTAAGGAGAAAAACTGGCTGTGATAGGTTGAGTTTAATCATTTTTCTGATTGAACTATTTTCACCTAAAAAAATGTAATTCTGTTTTCTTGTTCCCCACAAATGCCAGTTTAGTGATTAAACTACATTTATTTGATATTTAGCATCAGAATATGTTTGTAAAACACACCCTGCTCTGCATGTAAAACAATGGCAGACTGAAAGGAGTGTTTATATTTTTACCCTTTTTAAATCAATGCTAACATCACACCTGCAATCTATGGTGTGCACTGTATATTTCGAACTAGCTCTCAAACTGACATAATGGGGCTGAAAATAACTTTGAGACAAGCAATCAAACTAAATAGAGAAAAGAACATCTTAATTATGAGGAACAGCTACAAAATTCAGGATTGTTTACTCTGTGAAAGAGACGTCTCATTATACAAATATAGTGAAGGCTGATATCAGCAATTCTCTGCAGATTTGTTGAATCAACAGGGCGGCAATGTAGATACAAGGCTGTCTCTTGAGACCTTAGGAAGAGAGAATTATACATTTATCATCTGAAAGTGTTATATTAGGGACAGTAAAGGCATGTAATTCAGTCCATGCAGGAATTATTCTCTCACTTATTAACGAGCGAAAAATAGGGACTTATAAAATGAATGTAAACTCAAATAATCATATTCCAATCCTTTATAAATGTTACAATTTGGGATCCGTTTCATGATGTTCTGGGTTTTTCTCTGGTGTCCCACTTTCAGGGACTCCAGAAACAGTCACAAAAAAGCACAGTAAGAGCATGCCAGTGGTTATACTTTCCTGTGACTAGTTGAAACTTGTTGGGGAAAATGTCTCCTGTAGTGAGTTCTCTCTGCATCTTAGGAGAGAAAAACCTAGGTTAGTGCTTGCTGAAAAAATTAATTGCGGCCTAACAATTTTGCCGGAAAAAAAACAAAACAATTTTTGGGACGGCTTAATTTCAGACATATATTTGTTTGTCTTATCAAACTTAGTTAATGTAAAATGATTCGGGAAAATTAATCAGGCAAACTAAAAAGGCATAAAAATGGTCCATCCAGTGTACTGCAAAATATATACATATACATCAAATGAATATTATCTATATGTTTTGCAGTACACCATGGCCTGCTCTGTTGCTGTAACTTATCTGCTTAGTGCTGGTGGAGAGTTATAAAAAAAAATAGCCCTCCTACCCCCACCTCACAAAATTATAAATTATCCCATTCACAACATGGCCAAACAAAAATTATGTCCAAATTCCTATTCCTTATGTTACTTGCCCTTGCAAATGATGTGGAGTCTAACTCTGATCCCCCAGCTAATTCTAGTCCTAATCTCCCCACTCTCTTTTGTGCACTGCAACATCTGCAGTTTACTCCCTAAACGGGATGCACTGCAAGCCTGGTGTTCCCATTACAAACCAAAAATCATTGTGCCCTCTGAATCATGGTTAACGACTAAAATACCAGACTCCACCATTGCAATACAGGGGTATTAATGTTTTAAACTAACAGTTTCAGTGACCCCTGTCTAGTGTACTCAGGGCAGGCCTTAGGGGTGTGCGAGGTGTCGGCCACACAGGGCGCCATGGAGCAGGGGGCACCGTGCGGCCGACAGGAACGATCACTGTACTTACAGACAATGGCGAAATGCATGCACAAAACAAACAAAAATGGCAAAGGCCCAATGTTTCAGTGAAAATTTGAACAACAAACCTATCAAACCCCAGAAATTTCTGGAAAATTACAAATAGCATACAATCCACTCCCAAGCCTCCACTATCAAAATAGACAACCAAACATTGCAACATCCCCTAAATGTAGCGAACGCCTTTAATAATTACTTTGTTGGATGTGCTACCACCCTGGTTGCTAAGATAACAAATGACACTAATTTCTGACCGCAAATAAATATCAGACCCTGCCAAATATTCAAAATCCTCATATAGAGAAATTCAATTTTTAGACCTGTACCTGTTAGTGTCATTAATAAACATCTTAATAATTTAAAAATGAAAAACCAGTGTGGACCAGATCAATTTCCAGCAATGTTGCTTAAGCTCAGTGTGCCAACAATTGCTAAACCTGTCACTACCCTTATCAATGAATCCCCGGTTTCAGGATACATACCCAAACTTTGGAAGACTGCAAAAGTTGTACCTATCCATGAAAGTGGTGACAATAGTTTGGTATCTATCTATTGCCCGATATCATTGCTCCCTGTATTGTCAAAAATCTTGGAAAAGTTAGTGTATTATACGTTATATAATTCGTTCTGCCACTTTGTACTAGAATGTAATTACTTTAATCCACGATATTTAGCATACTGCAATACAAAAATAAAGTGGCTCGATCCTCCTTTTCCAATTATGGAATAACCTCAGGGACACAGTCAAATCTTCATTCAATCGAAAATCTTTTAAGAAATCTATGGCACTATACCTCAGCACAGAATGCACCTGTCATGGTTGAATATATGTATTACCTGTTATGTATTAAATTTAGATATGTGTGTGTGTATATATATATATATATATATATATATATATATATATATAGTTTGTATATTGTATTTTTGCAATATTATATCCTATTATAACAATGCAATTTTTTGTGGACCCAGGACATACTTGAAAACGAGAGAAATCTCAATGTATCCATCCTGGTAAAATATATTTAATAAATAAATAAAAAAATTTAAAATTTCGTGCAATTTGGTTTACAGGCCAAGTGAAAAAAAGTCACCAGTAGAACTAAAAAGTAGAGGAGCAGTAATAAAAATCAATTTTTAGATATTATAAAAAATATAGATTATTTTTACTGCCCCTTGTTTTTTTCCCTCTGTTGTCATTTCTAACTTGATTTGCAAATACAATCTTAATTTAATGACTGTCCCCTAACCATCAAGCATCTCTTCCCACAATTCTTCGCTTTTTGTTGCCACGGGTGGGATTCCGAATCACGAATGGACATGAACATGCTCGTTAATTACGCAATTCGTTTGGTTACGTGATTTGGCTACGTTTTGGCTCAGAATTCGGGAATTGATATGATCACCCGATCGGCTAACATTCAGACGAACTACAGGTCATTACACAACATATCTCCAAGTCTAGCAAAAACATTGTTTGCATTCCCTTTTGCAGTCACATGTCCCTAATTGAGCCAGAGAGACAGAATGTATCGCCAATGTACTTCCAGTTCCTTTCGGTCATTAAAACTGCCTAAATATACAAATAATTGCTGAGTATGCAGAGACAGCTTTCCCCTTTGCATTACTTCCCGGTGGGCTCCTTAAATGTCACAGGTTGAGAACCACAGGTCTACACCATGTTTCATAGAAACATAGAATGTGACAGCAGATAAGTACCATTTGGTCCATCTAGTCTGCCCAATTTTCTAAATACTTTCATTAGTCCCTAGCCTTATCTTATAGTTAGGATAGCCTTATGCCTATCCCACGCATGCTTAAACTCCATCACTGTGTTAAACTCTACCACTTCAGCTGGAAGGCTATTCCATGCATCCACTACCCTCTCAGTAAAGTAATACTTCCTGATATTATTTTTAAACCTTTGCCCCTCTAATTTAAGACCATGTCCTCTTGTTGTGGTAGTTTTTCTTCTTTTAAATATGGTCTCTTCCTTTACTGTGTTGATTCCCTTTATGTATTTAAATGTTTCTATCATATTTCCTATTTCATATGTTCATGTTACGATTACAAGATTTTATATTTCACTCTCTAGTAATCTATCTCATGTGTCGTCACCGCAGTACAGAGAATGGATAAATTAATAGGAATCTGAAAATAGCAACAAAAAGCTATATCTGTATAAACTTTTCAGCAGTTTACTTTACCAAATGAGGTAGGAGGGCAACTGTCCCCATGGACCACCAGCATACATGAGATGTGAGCTGCATCCTCACAGCACCATTCTATTGATTAAAGTCACTAATGATGTCTTTTAGAAGAGTACAAACAGGTAGCAGGTGGAATTGTGTAGGGCCTTTGATACACAGCACTGTGTGGATCTATGCTTGCGCTGGTAGCCCATGACCTTAAAGGACCACTATAGTGCCAGGAAAATATACTCGTTTTCCTGGCACTATAGTGCCCTGAGGGTGCCCCCCCCCCCTCAGGGTCCCCCTCCCGCCCGGCTCTGGAAGGGGGAAAGGGGTAAAAACTTTCCTTTTTACAGCGCTGGGCGGGGAGCTCTCCTCCTCCGATCCTCCTCTTCTCCTCCTATGCGGCTGAATGCGCACGCGCGG